GTTATAGTTTGAGGGTTCTAATGATAAAGTGAATGCGATAGAGAAATCAGAAATGCTACTTACAAATCCCCACCCTCTTCGGGTGAATGGCTGCCCAACAATGCCAAATCCACTCTTGTTTTCAAGAAATAACTCAACATAAGGAAGCTCTTCTACAATAGCAGACACACCTCCATTTTTAGGCCCAAGCTGAAGTACTTTAGCATAAGCTTCTGAAGAGTCAAGGGGAACAAGCCTTTTGGGATGAATGTTAAGACTATTTATCATATAGCTCCGAGCAAAAGATCCATCTTGATAACCAATTGGTTCATTATTTGCTATCAAGCTATCTATCCCATTTATTGGGGAAGATAGTTGTTGGACAGTAAGAAATGATGTCAAGCTTGCTGTGTAGCTTGATGTTATCACCATCAATAGAAAAAGCCATACCATCATTACAAAACGCCCAAGCGTGCTCAAAGTATCTTCTTCTGAAAAAACATAAAAAAGAATGGTATATTTACACAAATGAGTTTCCGTAGGGGAGAAAAAAGATTGTGACACAAACTAAGAAAGCCTTTGTTACACGTTCACTTACGCTGTGACTGGAAAAGTGTTGAAAAACTAAACCTGAGAAAAAAGGGTTTGCATATTGTCAGATGGTAAAACATAATAAAACAGAAAAGTAATAATAATATCAAACGAGATTAATCACCTGGGACTAACTCAGAGAGATACACAACAAAGGCAAATATGTAAGATGACAATAAAAAGAATATACATGTGTTATTAAAAGAGTGCACACATAGATTGACATGTTTAAGCATCAAAGTTTATAAATAAAATTCTAACAATAGAATAATATATAATGAATACATTATGCAAACATTTTAACATACCATATAGGAAAGGAATAGGCCTTGACCTTTCAACAGTTTATAAAGTAGCTAAACATAGATCACTTGAATGAAACATATCTGAATTTTATCATAGTTTGCTCTATAAATATTTTGATGGGCTATAACTAGAATATAATTTTTAATATGGAAATGAAAGTAATTAAATATCTCAAACATGTAATGTTAGAAAGGAAGAATGTGATATGTAGATCATATGTCCAAGAAGTATCAAACTACTATTCTAAATAAAAATATATATATTACGTACTTGAGAACTTACTTAAATACCGGACAACTTTCCAAGTGTCCAAGCAGTATCAGTGTCAGTAAGTGTCCATGCTACAAATTTCCTACACGCTTTTATTCATTGCAAGATGTTTGTTTATTTTACTTGTTCACTTTCTTCATTCAGAATTAGTATGTGTGCGGCTTTGACTACTATTAAGATTCGAATTTTAACTTTTCGAATGAGAATTAACATACTTGATGTGTTTTTCAGCTGCTGAGTAACAACTTAAATCTATATGTAACATTTATATTTTCTTGCAAAATGTATATAATATTAATTTTACTATTGATGCATCCTATTGTAGTGTTCCTTCTTATTTAAGTAGTACTTTTGAAGCATCCCTATTGCATTATATTTGTATCAAGTCCACAGTCCTTATATGACTGCTCCGCTACTCATACCATGCACTTGCAAGAAAAGGAGTTAACAGAGCACCGATGAATCTACACAAATCTTAAAGAAATTCATTATCCAAAGGTCAAATCTCTTCTAAATATTTAAAGCGAGCTCTAGTAGCATCACCCAAATATGAACTTAAAAGTGTAAGAATAACTAAATAGAGTATATTTTTGTGACCACAGAAAATGATCAAGCCAACAATAGATTTTTTTGCAAATGGAGAACTCTTACAAGAATATAGTCATGCACTGCCGCTTCGGGGTACCTCGAAAGTCACTGTTCACTCGATGTTCAAGTACCCAAATAACAATCCCAATCAAGAAGAAAAATGCCCCAATCACACCCCACATACACGCTGAAAACGGCCTGAGGAAAACCCAAGCGCTTGACTTGGCACTTTCCACTGGTACCACTATCACAAGGCCAGTAGAGATATAAGGCTGAGTAAAATCAACAAGCTTACTCCTATCTGTCACAATTGCAATATCCCCAACGGCAGCATCAACGACCTAAAATATTTTCATACAAAGACTAGTAGAAGTTCATAACATAGATTTAAGGTTTTTTCCTATATCAGTCCCTTATATCTTTCATATTTTTAAGTTAGTCCCTCAAGCCATGTAAATTGCTATTAGGTCTCCCAATTCTTAAGTTTTGTTTGATATTAGACCCTCAAATCATTGTTGAAATTGCTATTAGACACTGTTTTAGAAGCGAAAGGCAAGGTCAAGTAGATGAGATTCTATGTTGCCAGAGGCGAGAGATCCAAAAAGGAGATTGAGTGAAACCAGGCAAATCTCATTTAAAGCACTGCTATCAGGTCCCCCCATTCTTAAGTTATTTTGAAATGAGTCCCTCCAATCACGAGTAGAAGTATCAGTTAGAGGGAATAATTTCAAACAACTAACGAGAATTGGGGGACTTAACTGCAATTTCAAGGATTTGAGGGATAATTTCAAACAACATGAGAATTGGAGGGCCTAATAGCAATTTCAAAGATTTGCGGGACAATTTTCGAAACATGAAATATTTTAAGGGACCAATACGAAAAAATGATTTTTATACTTGAAAGTTGAAACTAGAAAAGACTTGTTTTAACAAATAATTACCCCGTCAGCAACCATATCTACAAGTTCCGAATAATTTGGGTTGGAACGGCCATCTCCAAAAGGTATAAACTGGTGTGGAACATCATAAGGAATTGATCTAATTGCCGCTTCAAATACATCAATGCAATATCCCCTTACCGTGTGATTATCATTTAGTGCTGTTACAAATTTTTCAAAGCTAACCCGATACGGGACTACAATTCTGAGTGGCCTTTCTTTAGTTGCAGCAACCCAACCACGGGGTGTCTTTGTATGCCCACCAGGCCAGGTAATATTTTGTGATAGTTGGATACCTCTTAAACTTCTCTTTTCATTTCCATATACAGATTTTGGTAAATAAACTGACATATCAGAATTGTTAGTCCAGAAACCCACCGACTGCATCATGGGACCATCAATGTTAATTATTTGATATATGCCACTTTTGAGATTGTGATCAGCATCGAATTGGATTCGACCAATTAAGCCAGTAACATCTAAAAGTAATAATTTCTGGAGTAATAGATTTCCATCATCAAAAGTTTTCAGCTTGTCCAACCGCATCTTTCCTTTCATATCGACTAGCTTATCATTAGAACTGAAGGTTACATTTCCAGACTCACTGAGGAAATTCTCGATGGCATAGGCGGTAGCCCAAACTGTATCATATGCATAAAACCCATAAGCATTAAGCTTAGAAGTTACCACTCCTCTTTCCCGTAATCCCTTCCATTTAGACAAAAAAGCACTGGTTTGGCTCGACTGTGCGACATGTTGACAAAAGCCTACTGCTCCTTGAAGGTAACTCAATGATTCGTTAATAAATGAATTAGAACTACCGACAACAGTACATAGCCAATCTGTTGCCAGCCAAACATAGCCATCAGTGATCATATGAAGCTCTCGAGCTACAGAAAATATCTCAAGGCCAGAATCGGGGTTAGCATGTACAACATAAACTCGTGGTCCAATTACTTGTGATTTCCTTAGCACATCCATTACGTAGCTCCGAGTAGCTCGAACTGGCAGCGCAAATTTGTATAGATTGGATTTTTTCTTAGCAAGCTCATCATCAAGAAAAGATATCCCATTTCTCCCATAGTCATCATCGACATAAATTGCAATGACCTGTCTCCAACTATAGTAATTAATTAAATCTGCCATTGCTGCCATCTGGTAGGAATCACTTTGTGTCATGCGAATGAAGAAGGGATATTGAAGGGAGGAGAGTGTGGGATCAGTGGCCGCGAATGACACAAGAGGGATTTGCAGTCCACTAGAAATTTGTGAAACTATACGAGCAACTGTTGAAGATTGTGGACCAATAATTGTAACCACATCCCTCTCGAGAACCTTCAAAGCTGTAGAACAATTTGTTATTAGAAGAATACTTTTTTATTGTTTATTTGTCTCCAAAGAAAAAACAAAAAGGAAAAAACCTCTCTTAGTTACAGCTAAGAGATTCCACATCTTAAAGCAATCACAAAATAAAAATAAATAGAAGAAGAAGAACAACAACAAATAAACATGACATTAATTTCCTGGAATTATCAGAAGTTTCTTAGATGATTAAAGCTGATATATTTATTCCATAAGGAGAAGTTTCTTAAATGATTAAACATCACTTTGGGACTACTGGTGCTCAAGTGCATGCAAGTTTGTTTGATAATTGGACCAACAGGTGACAATTTATGTACTTCATTGGCATACTAAGCAATTACCAAAATCATGATGAAAACAAGTTGCAACATTTACAAGATGGTTTGTTAATAAGAATGTCAAATCTCGAGTTTATCAAGATCTACAGAACATTTTATAAAACCACAAACTGATTAATCAAGCTGCACATCCTTCACTCAAATAAATGTATACACAATTTCATGCCCATCCATAAGTATTAGATAACTATCAAACTCTGATGTTGAAATAGATAAGAATTTAGTTTTAAAATGAGTTATCCAATACTATATAACACATTTCATTAAGATATCTATAGTCAAAGCATTTTCTCTTTCTGTTTGATGGAAAATGCACCAGAGCGAATTAAATGACCAACAAGAGTTACCACTGTAAATATGTCACAATGTTCACAATTATCTCTATGGTATTAATCTAATATTGGAAGCAGAATTTGACCAAGAAAAAAAAATGTCTCCAATACAGTAAAATTGCGATAGATAGATAGATAGATAGATAGGGCAGTTGTTAAGACTACCTCCAATCGATCCAAGAAAGGCATTGCAATCAGAATTCTCCATGATCAAGTTTAGCCGAGTGCCTACAAGAATGTTTTTATCTGCATTGACATCAGCAACAGCAGCTTCAATCGCTGCCTTTGCAACTGTGCCGATGATCGAGTCATAAGTTAAAACAGCACCGATGTTAACAACTTCAGGCTTTTCACAATTGCGAATACCACTCAAGCACAATATCAGAATAAGAGTTGCTGTGAACTTCAGAAAATACATGAGCGAAGCTTTGAGATATCTCGTAATATCACAAATTTACGCCTAGATTCCCAGAGTTCAGATGAAATATTAATACAACCGATGAATCTGAAGAAAACCCATTTCCAGAAGCAGCTCAAAACTCAAAATTAATCACGGCTTAAATCATGAAGTGGAAAGGCCACATTTTTAGACAGATCTCAAACCTGCATCTAAAACAGAAGAAACGACTAAAATCTATGAAACATTATGAATCCACATCCTCGAACTCAAACTGATTGGATAACATTTTTAGATTAAGCTCTAGACTGCATCAAAGATAAACAACTAAAACTATCAGAGCGCAGGAATGTCAACTACAGAAGAAATTTCAAGATCTTTATATCCTAATTCCAAGAAACCCAGTTCAAAGGTGTAGGTGTTAAGCTATTAGCTATCAACTGCCCACATTGAAGACAACTCGAGTGAAGTTGAACTCTACTCATTTTGCAAATAAAGAAGAAAAGAGCAGAAAAACACAGTGAAGCCTGTATGCATCATTAATAATTGGGCATTGACATTGATTTGAGAAGCTATCAACAGACGTGAAAAGGTGTCAACTTTCAATTCTTTTCAAAAGTTTTGGGCTACATTGAGACTAACTTCAGTGCCCAATGGGATTACCAAAAGAAATTTGACTCTTACTCTTCTGGGTCAAAGTCCAATTACTAGTGACACTAGAAAAAAAATCAGTGGATTTGGAGAAATACCCATTTCCGGTTAAAGCTCAAATCTTCATCAGAATCTCTCAGATTGAGCTAGAGGAGAACCCAGATGACTGATTGGAGAAAAACCCATGTCTAGACGAAGCCCAAGAATGCAACTTTAACCAAGAAAACCCAAATGAACGCTCAAAAGGAGAAGAAACCCCTAAATAATTTGAAGAAAAAGGTTCACAATTTAAGATCTCTGAATTATTTCTAGAGAATTTTATACTTGGAAATCTAATGGTGTGTTTGGGAGTTTACTTAGGGAAGGGAAGGAAGGGGAAGGAAGGGGAAATTTTCCCCTTCCTTCCCTTCCCCTCCATTACACCTAGGGCTGGCAATGGTATACAATTCCATTCCAACCAATTCATGTACCAACCGTACCAAATACGTTGGTATACCATCAAATTGGTACATGGTACATGGTACAGTATACCGTACCAGCTTCAAAATATGGTACGGTAGGTGGTACACATTTTCCTCTACCATGGTATACCATACCTACCAACTTATATTATATTAAATTATTTAATATATAAATTATATATATATCCTTAAATCTCAACCATAGATTTAGGGAAGATTTGTTATTAGTTTTGGAGTTTGGATTTGTGTTGTTATTTGTTATTAGTTTGGACTTTGGCCCTTGTTTGCACTAGTTTGGACGTAAGTTAAGCTGTTGGCTTGTCACTAATTCTCTTAACTGAAACTAGACCTGTCTGCAACTTCCTCTGAAGTTTTGTACAGAGAAAGAGAGAACAAGTACTTTGAATTTATTTATCTCTAAGTTCTGCCCAGACTTCTTAAACTGTTAAAGATTGTTATTGTTGTAAAATCATTTTGACTATAGTGTTACTGTCATATTAAGTTATATCAACTGATAGCTGTAGGAATTGAGTTAATGACATGGGAGGTTGAGAAAGATATTGGAGCTTGAGAAAAACATTGGAGTGTTACCATCATTTTAAGTTATATTAACATATATATATGTAGGAATTATGTTAATAAAGAAAGACATTGGAGCTTGAGAAAGATATTTATCCTTTGAGGAAATGATATTCTTCAGGTCAATGTTAATAAGTCTTGCTTCTGGTGATGGAAAAGTGAGCTTGGTTGCTGCATTTAGCCCTGAAGTTATTAAAATGGGACTTCAAGCAGGGAAATTTATAGGAGGTATAGCAAAAATTTGTGGTGGTGGAGGTGGTGTCAGGCCGAACTTTGCTCAGGCCGGTGGCAGGAAACCAGAAAAGCTGTTGGATGCGCTAGAAAAGGCGAGGAGCGAACTCGTTGAAGCAGTGAATCGAAAGACAGCAACATGAAAATATAATTGTAAGAAACTTGGTATAAGCTCATATATGTATGAAAGATCTTAGAGCTTCTACAGACTGACTAGCAAAAGACATACTTGGTAGAAACCCAATACCAACCGTACCAACCGAGTACCAACCGTACCAAGTAGTTGGTATACCAACGTTATTGGTTGGTAGAAATGGTGAATTTTTCCTACCAATTATATATTGGTTGGTACTTGGTACTAGGAAAATGTAATTGGTATACCTACCAATCCAGCCCTAATTACACCCCAATTTGGGGTGTAAGAATTTGGGCCAAATTTCCCCTCCATTCCCCTCCTCTACCCTCCAAAATGAAACTCCCAAACAAGGTTAAAATGAAATTTCCCTTCCCTTCCCTTCCCTTCCCCCTCTCTACCCTCCATCCAAACAGGCCATAAGTATTTTAAAAGGATATGACTAATAAGTTATTATCGTAGAATATATAGCGGACAAATTTTCAAAACCAACCTATTTACAAATTTAATCTCAGAAAACAACCCACTTCAGATTTAATTGAAAACCGACCTGGTTTCAGCTCCAGGGCTGAAACCAGGTCGGTTTTTGCAATTAAATCTGTAATAGGTTGTTTTCTGCGATTAAATTTGTAAATAGGTTGGTTTTGAAAATTTGTCCAATATATAGCTAATACATCCAAAGCCAAATATTTATATAATAATAATAGGTACGTGTGTAACATATGGAATTAAAACCGAACAAATTTTTTAAACAGACCCATTTCAATTTTTAATTTTCAAAACCGACTCTTTTTTTTTTATTTACCAAAACCGACCCGATTTTATGATTAGCAGATTAATCACCTTCCTAAATAGTCGGGGTTGGCAACCCCGACTATTTAGGACGGTGTTAAACCCTAATTAGAAGCATTAAACCCTAAAAATTAATGTCCTAAATAGTCGGGGTTGCCAACCCCGACTATTTAGGAAGGTGATTAGTCTGCTAATCACAAAATCGGGTCGGTTTTGGTAAATAAAAAAAAAAAGAGTCGGTTTTGAAAATAAAAAGTTGGAATGGGTCTGTTTAAAAAATTTGTTCAATTAAAACCATATGTTTTCTCTTTGACCAATTAATTTGTGGTACACCACTCAAAGGGATGTGCGCAAAATATATGCAATATAAGGTGTTTTTAATAAGGCCGGAAAATATAATATTGAGAATGTAAAGGGACATTTCAATTAATATAATTAAGAATGACGAGAATTGATATACCATAACGGAATTTGGCTTACCAAATAAAATTGAAGATTCATTAAAGGAAAAGATCGATAATTAAAATAATTAATTACATAAAACACTCATGGTTAAAAGTAACTTAGATCATGTTTAGAAATGGAGTTTTTGCAAGCCCAAATTGAATCTCGTTGGCAAGTATTATTTATTGGTATTTATTGCAAGATCAAATCCCATTGTAAAATTCATATCCTACAATTATAGGATTTGAAACAAACACCCCTAATTGAATCTCGTTGGCAAGTGTTATTTATTGGTATTATCCATTCGATTACTGTTGGTCCTCATAAACAATAAGTGCAAAATTCAAAATACAACTAATATATTTTTTTGGAAATAATTAAATACACATCTGTAAAATAAATACATGTGTCACATGAGTGTTGAACAATAAAGGCACCGTATTTAGAATTTGTAAATGATCAAGAAATAAAAACTATTATTAGACCAAAACAACATAATCTTTGTCTAATTCTTAAAAGGTAAACTTTAGGAATCTACTCTTCCATATTTATAGGAGGATGCAAAAAATCACTATTCATGCTACATTAAATGCTAGAGTAACTACAGTAGTGCGAATAGTAAATCGACCGTAGTAGTAACAGTAAATACTATACGGTGAACGACGCCCCAACTATAGTATTATTGTATCGTGAACATTAAATCGACCCCTAGCAGCAATGCTTACTGTACCGTGAACAATAACTCAAATCTGGCATTGTATTTTTAAAGTTAGTGTTTATACTACAGTATTTTATTGTATGATAAACAATAAATCAAATCAAATATATTAAAACTTAGATCATACTCTAAGTATAAAGGAGTAAATATGATTTCTAAATCAAATGTATTAAAACTTGGATCCTCCTTTAAGTATAGAAGAGTAGATATGATTTCTAATGTTAAGTATACAATAATCAAATTAAATGTATTAAAACTTAGAGGGAGGTCAGTTTAAAACACAATACTTAAAAAATAGGGAGTTGTGCTTTACAAGGGGTGCACACTAGTTACATGAAATAAGAGGGTGAGAAAAGTTCGTGCTTAGCACTCATCAGCTTTCGCTAATGTTGTTCAGGTATAAGTAAATGTAGCGGAAAAAGTTTTTGTATTTTGCTATTCTAAAATGATTATTTCACTAATCCTTTGTCGTCCTTTAATGCTTATGTTGCAATGCACAGTGAGGAAAATGGTTGATTTATTTTCGTCTTTGAATTGTATTTTAAAAGGGTAAAATATTGATACAAATTCCCGCACTGGGATGCATCCCAAATTACTATTTGAAGGAACCCTGTGAAACAAGGCTCCTGTATATTTCCTGATTGAGCAAATTACGCAGCTTCCGTATTAAATTTTTTGACAAGTTAAACTCTCTTCAAATTCATCATTTCTTCATATATAGGACAAATTGCAGATAAACCCTCATATATACCTTCATCTGCGCTTATTACCCCTCAACTATTTTAGCCCTATGGATTCACACGAGAACTAGAAGGATAACATTGCACATAACTCCCCATGAGTATTAAGTGCTACTAAAATGGTTGACAAGTGACAAGTGCAAGTGAAAATATAGATAAGGAGGGTTATCTGCAATTTACCCAAATATACACAAATATGCGCATGCACAACACATACTTGTTTAGATAATGTCCTTCACACTTCACACAAACCCATCCCCTTTCATTAATGAGATGGCAGTGAGTGCACCCATAGCTCCAACATAAAACAATACATCCATAAAAACAAAGACAAAAGGGGTAAAGGACAAAAGGAAATTATTCAGCAACAATACAACAGAATAAACACCATCTTTAAATAAATAAAACAAGTATTGATCAATGTCCATCAAAACATGTAAACAGAAAATATTTATATGTCCGAGTAAGAATCATTCAGATGGAAAGCCGAGGAACTCATTGATAAGCTTAACAACAGGCATCGCATCCCCTGGTGGATAAGGAAGAATAGACTCCAAATCCATGGTTTCAATGGTTTGATGAAGGGTTTGAGGACGAGCTCAAAATAAATGCTTTCTCTCTGCCAATTCTTCAGCTAGTTCGCTCTGATGGTTATCCATCAAGTCCTCGTCAAAATAAATGCTTTCTCTCTGCCAATTCTTCAGCTAGTTCGCTCTGATGGTTATCCATCAAGTCCTCGTTGACAACTACGATGAGGGGTTTACAATTCTTCAGCTAGTTCGCTCTGATGGTTATCCATCAAGTCCTCGTTGACAACTACGATGAGGGGTTTACTCAACCGTAGGCTTTCAAATATGCTCCCTGAACCTGCATATTAGAATAGTTTATGTGGTATTGTTTATTTCTTTGAAGAAGCTACAAAAGTGGTAAAATATTTAGAGAAAATCGTGATTTAGGGAAGATTTCCGAGAAATAATAATTATTAAGTAATCATGCAAGATGCAAAAAAGTAGCAGTATCTGTTGCATCTAGACAATTTTTATGTCATATGACCTATATATTTCTAGATCTTTACACATTTATCTCATATCTAATACGTATTCATATCCATTTCCATATCCATGGTCAATATTGGCAGATATGATTGGATTTGCTTTTAGTAGATATACTTGTATTGTTATTTATGATTAGAAAATGATATGGATACCGTAAGTGTCATGTTCAATTTGTTTGCACGCAACACATACACGCAAGTAACCAACCCAAGAAAACAAAATGGAAGACCCTTCCTCTCACCATTCATAATCATTTTTCCCCACTACTTTTACATAATTTGCTATCTTGAGTTAGCTTTTCACCCACTAAATTTGAACATGACATCACTTCTTCTGTGTATTTATCCAGCCACCAAAATTATGAATATATTTACTCTCACATACTGAAATTGAAGAATGAATGGCAATTTTAATGGGCTTTGTGATCCTCTGAGATCTGAGGTTTAAGATCATTCAATTCACTAAATCAGTTAGATACTCAATCAGATTTATCTTCAATGTCCTGGCCTCACAATGTATAGTCATGCTATTGCCCCTTTGTAATGGTGCTCGTATCTTATAGACATCATGGCACTAATATAGTCATGAGGCTAGATTATGATCAAGAGGTTTGATGAGCAAGTATTAGTTCATTTCAGAAGTAAACACACAATTACTCAGGATTTCACGGCTTCAAGCACATACTTGACTGAAGAAAAGCTGCAGATGAGGTTTCATAAAACACTGCCAGTAGCTCTTAGAAATTTGACTTTTGACCTCTCATGCGATTTTGTTTTTACTGACTAAAATTTCAAACTTTCAAGGGACATGTTACGGTTTCAAACCACTTGTAAAGCCATAAACAAATTTGAAGAGTGAATTGTTTATCTTTTATACTAGAATGGTTACTTTCTTATAATACTAGGAAAAGGTAAGGTACAAATATTTTTATTTTGACAATTAAAAACTTGTCTCTAGATCATAGTTTTTACTAGGAAAAGGTAAGGTACAAATATTTTTATTTTGACAATTAAAAACTTGTCTCTAGATCATAGTTTTTCAGCGCCATGTTTGAGGTAAAATGCATATGAGATTTCACTGATTTATAACAGAGAACTGATAGTAGAAGAAGACCATAATAACATATAAAGAGGAATATATGTGCTAGTTCTCGAAAATTATCTCAAAAATTTATTGAGACAATTACCAATAAGAAGCACTGCTTGTTTGTAAAAAGCAATGAGTATAAGAAGTTCTGGCACACAATATTACCTGCATGACTGATGATTAAAGAAGCAGACTCCATGTAGTCAGCAATACTTGGTGAGAAAGTGAAGTGATCTACAGAAAGAGATCCATCATCTCCTGAAATCCATGTAGTCAGCAATACTTGGTGAGAAAGTGAAGTGATCTACAGAAAGAGATCCATCATCTCCTGAAATCTATAGTATGAGTTTATGAGAAACAGCAAGTGAAGTGATCTACAGAAAGAGATCCATCATCTCCTGAAATCTATAGTATGAGTTTATGAGAAACAGCAATCTGTTTTCACTATCACAAAGAGGACAACTTACAAAAAGAGTTCAATGATTTATGCCAGGGACTTATATGCACCCTCTATGGTAAGAAAGAAAAAAGATGATTATATAAACGATGCTAAGTTGCATCTGCTTTCTTTAACAATTAATATTAATATAAGAGGCCAAGACTGCAGAGGCTGACCTATGCTTGGCTATTAACATAATCATGGGAACAATTTTTTCTTATAAGGTATGATTGAAGATAAATGCTCATCGGACATGTGAAGACTAGGAAACTGAAAATATTCAAGCATTACATGAACAATAAAGCATGTCTTCTCTGAGCATATGTGAAGCTAACCAATAGTAACTATAGTGTTTGCCCAAGATACAAATTGACACCATAATATAAATATAGTTACTTACTGATGGATCCCCTGTAGCATCACCCAATTGCTGATGGACCCCTGTCGGGTCACCCAATTATGGATAGACGCCTTGTTGTTCTTTATTGTGTAGATAGACCCTCTAAGTTAATTTCTTTTGACTCTTAAAAGAGTCCAAAAAGTTTTGTAGAGGAGGATAGACCCCATGTGGTACTATTGGTGAGGACAGAACACCCAAATTCTATTTTCCTTAACTCTTAAAAAAATCATTGTGAGGATCTATCTGCAAATAGTACGAGGGCTCTCTCCGCAATTGGGTGTTACTAAAGGGGGTATATCTGCGATTCGGTGCTACCATAGGGGGTCCATCTGCAAATTACCCATATAAATATAGTATGTATACAACAATGAACTTTTTCTTTCTAATACTAGTCTAGTTTTGAATTTGAAATACATCATAAGAGTTTGCAGAGGAGGAAAAACTGAAACCTTCGAGGGAAAATAAGATCCCCGACCCATTTGAATCACAAGATCGGTGTAGCCTTTTCGAAATAACTCTTCTTTTACTTTGTCGGAGTCTACTGCTTTAACAAGAGCATCAAAAGATGTGGTTCCAACCGTCACAAACACTGTTTTCTTTGCTCTCCCATTTTCTCCGCCTTCACCCATTTCTTCCGATAGTTATCTCATATGCTAGTTGTTTTCTTTAAAAGATCGACTAAATGAGAATAAGATTGCACTGCAAGAAACATGTAACAAAATAAGTGAGAAATTAAAGAGTTATGAATATAGTTTAGTACTAAATTAGGTACTGTGCTACATGCATAATAAATCAAGGATATACTTACAAAGAGGTTTAGTGACTCCAATGTTGATAACACTCCATTTTCATTTCAGCAATGGTGATCTGTGATTTCAACACATGATAGAAAAAAAAAAATTTGCGCAACAAGGACAAAAATTGTTCATCGTAATAGCTCGAAAGATAAAGATAGCATTGTTCTCGCATATAATCAAATTGTTTAGAAGCAAATTCACCAGACAAACTTAAAATTTTGATTATAGTTCTTAGAAGCAATATATAACCTGAAAATTAATAACTAACCAACTGATTTAATCTTGAAATTGATTGAAGACATAGATTTAGACCAATAAGCAAATGGAATGTGAATCGATACAAGCACAACCCAAAGTAGATGGACTGTGGAAATAGGAGTAACTTTAGGAAAAGGGCAAAAAATTATGGAAAAAAATTGGCAACTTTCCTAATATTCAGCTTGACCCATGTCTCAAATTGACTCCTAGGTAAAACCCATTAAAAATCTCAAGAAAAAAGAGAAGGGAAGGGATCCAAAATATCATCATATCATAGCAATAAAAAGAAGAACTTGAAATTAATGGGAATTTGCTTTGAGAAGAGAAAAGTTAGAAAAGTTACCTTCTTTTTGTGAAAGCGAGTCTCTCCCCCTCTGCAGGTGCTCTCTCTGGAAGCAAGCTTTCGGGTCGGATCCAATAGTCGTTGAGTTTGGGCTTTAGTTCTTACTGGGCTGATTCCCAACACTACTGTTTGAAATACCATCAGCAGAAGAAAAAGACAATAGTGTGGTGAGCTACTATTCAGCCCATATTTGCACAGTTTATACCCCTATTTCCCTGAAATTAAAATGGAAAAAACTTTTTTCTTCAAGGCATCATGTGCAAAAATCTCTACAGCCAAATAAAGGCATTGACAATTTCACTATTTAAGAAATGCAGCAGGTTTCCATAATATAATTTTGGAGCAACATGGTCATTTCATTTCTCCAAACTAACATTTTTTAACTACTTTCTCTTAAGAAAACTTATCATTTCATCACTTTTATGAATTAAAAAAATTATTATTTAGATTGCAAAAGATACAAGAATACAAAATAACAACATCATGCCATTAATTTACTATCGCATTGGATATACATATACATAGTTTAAGGGGGAAAAAATAGGCAAATTGTTACTTTAGGAGATAACTTCGAGAGTTCACTTCTACGAGCGCATAACAAACAGACTGTACTATTCACAGTCTCAATACAGCACTTCCAAGAGAACATTAATTACAGCTCTCAAGAAACACCCTCACTTTGTGAAATATATATTACAAACACTCGTTGATGCAAATATCGTCCCCTTAATTTACTCAGATCAATCTGAATCACTTCTACTTCTACTCTTATGGCGTCGGTGCTGGCTCTTTTTCTTCTCTCTACTTTTCTTTCTTTCTGATCTTTCCTCCCTCGATCTCTTCTTCCTCTTCTCCTTAGAACAACGTTTTTTCCTCGAGATACCTGTATAATGAACTTCATCATCTGAAGACTCTTGAAGTTTTATGTATGATGGCTTCTCTGGACCAAGAATTCGATGTTCCCACTCTTCTTTCTCTCTCGTCTCGGGATGAACCAACGTTTTTCCAGCATCGCTATCTATGGAAGGATAGGGACCAGGTTCATCCATCCTCGAGCCAATAGCACCTCGACCCCTTTTAGCCCTGAAATGTAGAAGCTATGGGCTTTATTAAATAGCATTCAATTCGCTGCAATCTTCAACAGATTAGGATTTCAACAAGAAAATCAGATACAATTTAAATGATGCACTATGCCAGTTATCACAAAATTTGATGACCAACAGCTATCCTATTTGCAGTGCAATCTCAGAAATGGGAAGGGTGGCTTTAAATCAACAGCAAAGAATCAGATTTGGAGGGTAGATATGCAAATAGAATAGGTGTAGAAGGATGTAGCTCAAAAAACTCAATATTTTAACTTTCACAAGTAAAATAAAAGCATAAATCATTCTTTATCTAAAGTAATAAACTACACCTTATTTCATATCTGATGAAATCTAGTGACAAGAGGTTGACCTAAGAGAGCTTGGTTGTAAGATCTTAAAAAGGATATGATAGTGGTTAGCTTAGTACAGGAGGTAACCCCTAACAGAGGTGAAGGGAAGTATAACATTAATGTACCCAGCCCCAAAATTTTAGGATAAAGGATGTGTTGTTGTGTTATATGTTACATACAAGCAAAGCCTCCATGTGATGCTCTACATGAATTCTTTTTCCTACATCCGGAATCATCCCTATTCAGGATATCCCCTTTTAGAGCAAGAAAAGGCATTTTCCCCCTAGGTTATCAAACTAATTTTCATGCACGGCAAAATGTTACCTTGAGAGGAGAAACTCTTCCACTTCGTCATCCCTCAGACCACCATCCTCGCTTGAGTAACAAGCATGAGCACCATGACCAAGTTTGCTTGCTGAACGTAAGGCAGAGCTTGTACAGTCTTCTTCATCATGCCTTGAACTAGAAGAAACCCTTTTACGGGAATTTCCACGGCTCCTCTCATTATTGTGTATATCGTTGTTTCTTGCTCTATTCTTTAGCTTCATATCGAGCTCCATCTCCTTCTCCCGAGCACGCCACATTTCGTTCACTTCCACTGCTCTATTTGCTGATTGGAAAAGAAGGATCAGTGACAAACAGGATCAGAAGCTAGGAAATATCCAGTATGTAGGCTTGTCATGAAGGAAATATCATTAGTACAAGTAACAACCTTTGTTTATATAAGTTCATTCCATTTTATTGTCTCCCTTCCCTTCATGACAATCGTACATACTGCATTGCTTGTCAGTTGAGTTGCATCATGAACAAAAAAGAAACAAGCATCATAAAACATTGGAGTTTGCTCTAAGACACATGGATGAGAACAAGGGCCAGAGGTACGATATGAACACAGAGATAGGATACAAAAATTCCTTAAACGTTAGGATACTTGCGACAACGAGAGGACAGTTGAATGCATAAACTAATAAATGCATACATAGGCATGTCAACCGTTGATCCCAAATATGTTAAAACATTTAGCTTACAACTTCACGACTTCACAAAAAGAATATGACTTTGTTCTTCGCTGTTCTATAAAGTAGCTATACATATCTAAACTTATCAGAGTTTTGAACAAATCAGTGTTCCCACTAAAGTATGGTCCTAAAAGATAAAATGAAAGTAAACAAATATTTAGATGTAATATAAATAGTGTTCCCACTAAAGTATGGTCCTAAAAGATAAAATGAAAGTAAACAAATATTTAGATGTAATATAAATAAAGTAGTGAATGAAAATTGTTCAACACAAGTTCAAGAAGTGCCCGGCATGTTTTAGAAGTGTCCAAGGAAATGTCAGCATATACACACGTATCTCTAGTAAGTTCAACATGTGCATGAATTTAAAGTAGAAGCACTCGTGCTACATAGGTTGATCAAATGGAAGATTTTCAATGCAAAGCACATCATGTACCCATAACAATCTTTTTCAAAGAATCCAATACAAATTTCAACGAATACAAAAAATGTTGGGCTAATTGATCGAAACATCATCTTATATTCAAGATAAAATCAATAAATTAGGTCATGCTCATAATTGGAGACGGAAACAAACAGGAACTCAAAACTTCAAACTAATTTCTTAAAACACTATACCAACCTTGTTCCACTCCAAGAACAGTGGCAGTTAGGAAACGTGAATTTGGGCGACCCCTTACATTAGGCTGCCGTAGATAAGCATGCACGCCTTCTTTTTCAGCTTCAGCCCGCAATCGCCTTGCCTCCTCCATCAATAAGGCAGCAAGGCGGTTCTCCGTCTCCAAATCCATATATAGTCCAATCCCTAATCAATAAACTTCATATTAGCAAGAGTAAGCTTGAAGAATCATCAAAATAGGTCAAACTAGCAAAACCCACATTTTCAAATCCAACCCTGGAATAGGAAAAGCACCTGCCAAGAAATTATTACAGACTCGAACGAATACAACATAGCAAAAGACATGAAATGGGTACTACGATACAAATTTTTTTCGAAAAAGAATTCATATATAATGCTAGGCATAACTAGGAAATAACTAAATGCAATTCTTCAGATAAACACCAACTAATTCAGAGAGCATTACATCTAAAACACCACGGCCAGTAACTCTTCTTCAAATAGATTCCATTTCTTCTTCATCAAGTTCTCCCCCCACAATTCAAATTAAAACGTCTATAGTAATAATCCCAACTCAAAACATTCAGCCAAAAAAAAAAAAATTGTCAATAATCTCCAAAATATGGCATAGCTGCAATCTTTTAGCTATAGAATACGGTAACTAAAAGAAGAGCACAACAATTAAAACTCCAAGGTTCCTGATATAATTAAAGTTTTTCTCCCACAGTTCCAACTGGAAACCGATAAAGATGTAACCTTTGGCCCTAATTTCGTCAGGGCAAAAAGTTCCTTAATCATACATATAATTGAATGAAACTAGCGAATGACAACAACGAAAGATCAAAAATACATAATTTCTTCAAACTTGAAGAGAAAAATTACCTCAAATCGAGCAAGTAACTGACGATGGAGGAGATTGGATCTCTTGCTCGCCCTCGATGCTCGCCCTCGATGGAGTCTTTTGACAAATTGTGGAAGAATTGGGGTTTTCGACGACGGGGCAAGAGGGTACCAAATCTCCCACAGTCGCAGTCGCCGTCGCCGGATTTTATGTAGAATTGGGAGAAAATCTAGGGGGGTTTTTTCGCCGTCGGTTTGATTTTCTAATGGGTTCTACTTAGGGGTGTTAAATAGGTAGGTTTGGGTATTAAATGGGTGGGCATGTTTTGCTCATTTACCCATTTATGATCAATTTAATATTTTCTAAATTTGGCAGGTTTTTGCCCACCCATTTAATAAATGGGTCACTCATTTGCCTATTTAACTATAGTAGCTATGTATATAATATTTTTGGAGTGTTTTTTGTTAATTTTTAGGGGGGGGGTTGCAAACTATTAGGGGCTATTCAAAAAATTTTAGGGGCTTGTTGCAAACTTTTTGGGGATTTTTTGCAAACTTTTTTAGGGCTCTTTGCAAACTGTTAGGGGTGTAGGCGTCAAAAATTGCCTATAAGTCCCAAACACAGCTCAATACGGAGAGATGACGAAGAACGTCATCATCTAAGTCAGAGAGGACTAGCCAATATAAAAGGAAGCAAAGGAGAACACAAAATAACTCAGAAAATGACTCGGAGCTGTCTCACAGTTGGTGAGACAGTCTCCACTATCTCGTGTACTGTCTCGGCTATGCGAGATCTCGTGTACTGTCTCGGCTATGCGAGATAGTGACAGCTGTCTCGCCAACTGCGAGACAGTTTTCCTTGTTTTCTGGCGGTTTTGTGATGTTTTACAGGGTCCACGTGAATCCATGACTACCTTGGAACATTCATTAACATTAATGGACAGTTATACGCCCACATTGACAGTTATACCCCACTACCCACGAAAATTACGACATTTAACGCAATTTAAGGTAGTGGGACGGCGGTTACAAAGGCTCTGCCACTGTCTCCTTTAGCCAAGACAATGGACACTGTGTCGCCTAAAGGAGACAGTGATCACCAAAGTATTTACATTCTTTTCGACGGTTATGACTTCCAATGGCTATAAATACCCCTCTACACGCTTGTGCAGGGAATCACGAAGAGGACCAAGGTAGAACCACGGACAGAGAGGTTGGCATTTTGGTGAACTTTGAGAGTAAGAGAGAGTTCTTCATCCACTCATGAGCATTCTCAAGAATCCTTTGGTGTTTCCTTGAGTTCAAGTCTTGACTTGATCTTGAGAAGAGTGTTCATCTTACTTTGCTAAGATATTCACTTCAGTTCTTGTTTCACTATCGAAACATTAACTTTTCGCCTTCTTCGTATCCGATTTTGGAACGTTGATTTGGTGGTCCACGGTTAACGCATCCCCGGCACAGGCAAAGATCCCACGCAAGTAGAAACTACTACGTAGGAGTTTCTACGTGTGTTTCTAGGGAATATATTTTTTATTTCTTTGTAAAGAAGAGTTATACACATGTAAAACTCATTCATTTGTTTCTATTGCACAATTTAATGGAAACTACAAGGAAATTTGTTCCCGACGCAAACAGGGGGCCTTTTGCAAACTTTTTTTTTGGGGGGGGGGGGGGGGTTACAACCTTTTGAGGGTTTTTTTTGCAAAATTTCTAGGAGTTTTTTGGCAAAATTTCTAAGAGTTTTTTTCCCCAAATAGAATCCTTCGAGAATTAGAAACTAGAAATAGAATTCTTATTCAACAAATGAGTCAGAAGAATTCTATTGACAAATATACAAATGATGTAATACATAATATATTAGGCTCTGTGTAACATATTTATGCAGTAAGGAACAAAAATGTAGAGTTTAATCCAAACTTCAAGAACTAAAACCAACAATTGCTACTCATGACCCAGTGCTAGGTTTGTGATAAAATATTAATAAATACAACAATATATCACATGAGAACATGATACAAATCACATTGACACAAACTTTGTATTAACGTTGCTTGATTTAAGTTCATAAACAGCTTCAATTAACTTTGCTTCCCAATACAAAAGATGCTATCGTAGTACTAATAGATTGTGATACATTTGCAAGTCATATGTCTAAAAAAAAGTTAAAACAAGTAGTATAATCAGTACTAATAAATTGACTAGTCTCATTTCAGTCTATCTAGCCATGCACCAGGACTCAACCATCTAACTGTACAGTGTGTTAATTTGTGAGCAAGTCTAGAATCAGCCACAGCTAATGTTTCGCCAAGGATTATCAATTTTTCTTTTATAGCATTTCCAAGTCTGGAATCAGCCACAGCTAATGTTTCGCCTTCACAATGAGTTCGCAAGAACTTGCAAAGACCCTTGCACATTGCTGCTCTGAGCGCTATAAAAACCGAAACAAATACGTTGTCCAATCTTTCATTTGTACTGTAATTTGATAAGGGTAGAGCTCAGACTGATGATGAGCTTTGATCACAGAACCGGAAAGGCCTTAGATTTCCAGCTTGCACTATTTAAATCTAATTTCAACAAAAGAGTATATTAGCTCACCTGTTAATACAAATGAAATTGAAGTATTAATCCTGGAAATTTTAACATATTTCACATTTATATACAACCAAACTGCTGCAGTTAACCACAAAATCAAGCTTTCTCCACAGCTGTATCATCACAATCAAGACAATTCATAAAAATCAAACTACAGTCCCATCACAAGACTAATCGACATGCTCACGGTTTATTTAAGAATATTCATCATTAAGTTTTTGATACCTGACGATTAATTTTTGCACAGGTTTAAATTAGCCATGCCAATGCCTCTACTGAATCATAGGGCAAATGAAGCGATCAGAATTTTTGCACAGGTTTAAATTAGCCATGCCAATGCCTCTACTGAATCATAGGGCAAATGAAGCGATCAGATTTCAGGAAATCAAATAAAACAACCACCACAATGCCTCTACTGAATCATAGGGCAAATGAAGCGATCAGATTTCAGGAAATCAAATAAAACAACCACCATACCAAACTAGTCAAAAAATAGTGATAATAAATGAATAGTGATTTAAGTAACTCTTAAGGAAAACCCTCGCCGGCAACTGACTTCATGTTTCAAACTCCTTATAACTTTAAGTACTAGTTTTAGAACTTGCATAATGTTCAAGCTTATGTTCATAAGTTCAGTTAATTTGTAACTTAGTTGATTACACACTTTATAGAGGGACAAATAAGTTTTTCTAAATCAGGATTAATACAAAGAATGACAACAATAAAATGTTTATCCCAAATCTTTTAGCCAGCTACATAATCAATATCCATCACGCTCAATGAGGAGTCAATCTATTTTGTTAAATTGGAAAACCTAATAAAAGTTGCTACTTGCTATTGGTCTATTTGGTTATGTACTTAAATGAGTCGATCTACATATATCTCTGCGGTCTCTACTTTACATACTAAATGCAAATGATCATACACTTGGAGAAAGAGAATTTTTTAAAGATGTGAAAATTTTAAAGAGAAGTGTGCCTCCATCAAGTTATTATTTTTCCCCTAGCTTTCCCATCCCTATCACTGTTTTGATCAAAATTCTACCAAACTTACCCATAATTCCAGCTCTAAAAAATCAATCCTTCAGGGCTACACATCTCTGAGTTCAATACTCCAATGTAATCAACCATCATTTGTAGTTGACGCATAATTTATTTTTCAGTTGGTTTCCAAATTGCTTGTTCACGAAACAATTTTATTTCACAAAACTCCAACTCCACTCCCTCAATGAGGAAAATCATGTTCTTCATCCTCCCACACAACCGATGCTATTTTGTAAATATCGAAAATAATGTACATAACTAATTTTCAGGCCTCTTCAGAAAAAATTGTGCTAAAAATAAAAACTTAAGAAAATTGCGCACGATTATAAGAGGACATAAATCAAATTCCATAATTCAGTTAACACCCCACTCAAACATCAAGAGTCCAAGTTAAAAAAGTGCGCTCCTCAGCTTAAAATCACAATAACAAGAAATTTACCCCAGATCAAAGATCAAAACACTGTATTGTCACGCTAAAACTTGCACCTACGCATTGTAAATTTTTTTAAAAAAAACCTCCAAAGCATCTACAATCTGACGATTTCAACAAACGACTACAACGCTTCAAGTAAAATAAAAAAAATCTTAGATGAAATCAATTAGAATTACCACACAAATCTGGTGCTCAGGAAAACAAAGGCGTTAGGGTTAGATTTCTAGGGTTTCAACGGGTTCAGATTAGGTTGAAGAGAGAAAGATGAAGAAAACACCTTCCGAGTTGGAAAGAACTTCTGCTGCTCAGGGCTTCGGCCTCCTCGTGCTAGCCGACAGATGATCTTCAGGGGCTGGGGCTTCGGCGGAGGACTGGAGCTAGGGTTTCGGCGGAGGAGAGTAGGGATGAGCGTGAGGAGCTTGGGAAGAAACGCGGGAGGATTTCCTCTTCTAAAGGGACGGGCGGAGGTAGGAGTGATCCGCGACCGCTTCTTCTTCTTCTTGTTAGGGATTTCGCCGGAATCGAGAGCGATGAAATCGGAGAAGAAAAAGGGCTGAGCCTTCGGGTTTTAGTTTTGGGGGCGGGCGGCAAACGGGTGAGCATTGACCGCCCGTTTAGTAATCATTTAGGAATTTTAATGAGGAGTTTATCCGTTGAATGAATATTTTTTTTCCTTTAACAATAATACTTTTTTTTTGTTTGAAAATTAATACCATATAGACTTCCGGAATTGTCATATTGGGCAGATATATTGTAATTAAGAGATGAGGGTGGTGAGGTTAACTTACCCATATGTCACTAGCAGCATGACTCCACCACTAATCTATCCGTTGATAGCTCGTTCACCAAAATAAGCCGTCACCTTACACTCTCTATTTCTTATTTATAATAAAGAGGCTCGTACAACTCTCCATTGTCTGTGTCATGGCATGGGACAAACCTAAACTACTACAACTCAACATATGCAGATCATAGCTAGTTTGGATGTATATCATGTCAACGATACTGCAGACAAGGCTATGGAGAGGCAATCAATCCCTCTTTACTTTACATATACATGTACGTAGTATAAATATCCTTGGCCTTTTATATTTACACATATTTATTATCTTTTCTTTTTGTGTAAAACTTATTAACTTCTTTTTGCATTTCATAAACCACATTAATGTCATGGATGCTTAATCATGTGGGCTCTAATCTTATTGTTGGTAAGGTATGGTTTATAATTTTTTTTTGGGGGGGGGAAAGAAAAAGAGAAAATCTCTACTGTAAAATTACGACTTTATTTAATTGAAGTTACTTAAACTTCCGCATTCATAATAGTGAAATAGCCAGTTATACAAGTCTAAATGGAATTAAAAAGAGAAACAACTTTTGAAGAATGTACTAATCATTACGCTGAAAATTTTTGGTGAAATTTCTAAATTTAAAAAGAATTCACTAATTGTAATTTGTGAAAGGTAGCCAGAATATCTATTCATTTCAGGAAGTGAATGTTGAAGTATGGGATATCAATATTACATGATTTACTGATTAGTGATCCATTATTCTCTCAGTTGATCACTGACCATATTGAAATGCTTACAAATTTTGACATGTTAAAGATTTCGGCAAAATGGAAAACTAAAAGTAAAATTAGATCATGACATTCAGGCAAGAAAAACACATCTTTATGAACTACACATGCCAACTTGAAAAAGAATAATTACATGAAATTTGAGATAGTTTTACCGCAGATACAGAAGTTTTCCATGCCATGAATTTAAAGAATGGGGCAGAAGGATATCAGGAATTGGCATTAACAAGGATAATAACGAATCTGGGTAATCAACAAACCTGTTCATTAAAGAACATGCTATGGTGTTTTTTTTATTTCGCGGTGCATGAATATTATATTTGAACATCCTACATGCTTAGATTTAATAAATCCCACAGTTAATGAAAAAGACCATAAAAGTAAAATGTTATAATGAGATTAGTCTTCCATATAGTCTCTTGTCACAAACTTTCTACAAAAATGCAAATCGTAAGAGATGTGGTGGTTGTTAGTTTTGAAATGAATTATAACCATGCACATATTAGTAAATGGTTGTGATCTACTGTCAATGTGGCAATGATCACAATGTCTCTTCACTGGTAAAAACAGAAACCTTAAAATATGGGTAATTACTAGGATCTAAAAGTATAAGAATCAACTGCTCCAATATGGGATTCAATTCATGGGAGTATTCTATACTATATTTCAGATTACATACAAATGGAAAATTTGCCACAATTACCTACTACAAACTGTCCACTGTGACACTCCTCTAAGTTTAGCATGTAGAGCTTTTTGCACATCTTTGCGGTTGAGATAGTCAATCGTCTCATCTTCCACACAAACATCTATTCTCTCTGAAACATGCTACAAAAAACAAACAAACAAACAAACAAACAAGCAAAAACAAGACTATCATTAAAAGCAAGCATCTTCAACTTATCTCTTTCAATCACAAATCTCTGACTTAAACTTACTTGAGGACTTAGAGCCAAGGATTGTGAGAGCATCGATGAGATACAAACATCTAAGGTGACATCATACTTACCGACGAAGCTGCTTGTTTCTTTAGTCACTTGGTTCACCACTTCTTCACATGTAGGACTAAGAGAGTCTCGGTAATACTCTCCAATGTATCGAGAGTAGTTGCATGCTGAAGTGAAAATGTGGTATGTTGAGTCTGATATCAACCCATGAGACCATAAAAACTCAGCTCTTGAGTTGAAGTCAGTGGCAAACTCAAGAACAGGATTGCCCAACTGTAAATTTCTCCAACAAGAAGTACTAGCAGCCGATGGGATTCATGATTTAAGTTGCCATGATTTTCCTGTACGATGGTAACGAGAACACTTTTCTTTTTGTTTGATATTGTAGGTGGCAAGCCCAAAAGCCTAACGACCCATGAATATAATGCTGCCCTTTTTGTTGTCTTCGAATCTTCCCATATGTGCTTATAATTTACATTTTTTTTTAAAAGGGTGTTACTGATTCTTAGCTGTTGAGATTGAAATTGTCCGGAACAAAATCAGGATAGATAGCAGCGCTGGAGGAGTTAAAGGCACGAAAATATCTCATTTAAAAAAGAACAAGCTCAAATAACGACTCGATGAATCATGTACGTGTGTAATAATGCACATAGCCACAGAACTCAAAGCGAGTAACCGTCACAAAAGTTGCCACTTATTATTCATGATTAATTAAGCCAGGGTGTATATTCCCGAAAAATGATGAGAGGGTGGTTGTGAATTGAGAGGTTCAACTGAACCTCCCTCCCACGCACCTTCAGAAGCGCAACCCTGTGTCCCTGAACTTATCCTCCGTGCAATCATCGTCGTCGATATGTACCTGATTCAGGAGTGGTAGCGAGGATTATATCGGAGGGGTTGGCCTGAAACAGCTTTTGAGCTACCATTGTGCCGCGCAACATGGGCATGGGAGCAAACCAACCATCGTATTCGTGAAGTTTGAGAAAGGCACAGCCATCAACAGCCATCTATATACTATATCTAAAAACAGTTACCTCTGAAAACGCCACTTGGCAAAGAATACCCATCCCATTGAAGCTGCCACCTGGCGTCGTGTTTGCTCCAATAAAAGCATCGTTCTTCTCTCCGTCATTTCAATTTCCAAAATAATCTGTCGCTTCGTTCTTAGCTCCGCCCCCTCAGTTCCCAAAGCTCCGTCCAACGTCACTGGCGGTCGACAGGTCAGTTTACTGAACCCCTAAAAAATTGTTACCGATTTTGTTAAATTTACTTTCATCGAAATTTTAATCATATATTGTGAAATTTGATAAAGCTGAGCCTTTTGGTACTCAATGTTTGACAATTTGGTTGTGACAATTTGGTTGTGACAATCATGTATTAAGGATGAAAATTTGATTGTGACAATTTGGTTATAGTAAGCGTGAGCAATTACCGACAATGTTTGTATGAATCTACATCAATCTGCTTTTGCATGATGGGTTGATTTTACAAGAGCTTTCTTGCTCTACATATGCTAATTATATGATATCGTCATCCTATATTTTAAAGTTTTTTAAATTGTTTGGAAATGTGCTCTTTGACGGTGATCATTCTTAAAATATTATAATTGATGAGTCTCTGTTAATCTATGACTTCGTAATTAACCCATTCACTATAGTGCATAATACATAGAATTGCCTTATGGTCATTATTATTGTTAATTGGGTGATGTATTTTCACTTCTTTTTTAAAATGCAATGCAATTCTTTTTTAAAATGCAATTATTAGAGAATAAGTAAACAAGAATTGCCTTATGGTCATTATTATCGTTAATTGGGTGATGTATTTACAATTTTTTTATTTGTTATGTTGCTCCTAGCTGATCAATTTGACTGTGCACCAGTAGTATCAAACATAAATATAATCCCTGCCATTGTGAAGAGCTTACCTCCAAAGCCTTTTGCTCATCATATAAAATTTTTGGCAGCTTCCTCATCAAATCTTTTTTATCAGTCCCTGTCAATGCTCTGCTAATCAAATCTTTTTTAAGTATTCAAAATTGCAGGGTGATGTTAAAATTGGAATTTCTTCTATGACTACATGCTAGGATTTACTTATCTTGAATACTTAAAAGAAGATTAAATGTCCTATTGGCTGGTTCACTTTGTTCCTGTTATTCACTTTTCAGTACTCATTGTGTTTTCAAGCATGCTGTCCAGATGTATACTATGAGTAGATCCTATGCATATAAGCAGTGGCTAACTACCTTTTATGTATGGATATCAGTTGCATTTTGATTTATAATAGACGACTACCAAGGAGCTGTTCTATATATTACTCCATTGCAGTTATTCTACCTCTCATTCGTGCCTTCTTTTTTTTGGGTAAAATTTTTCATGAATCAGAGTTAATCCTTAAATTGGAGTCTAGGCTGACTGTTCAATAAATTTTCAACATGCTGGTAAGTAAAATTAGATTGAAGGTAATGGAAAGATTGACTAATTACCACGATGAAAGCTGTTGCCTTTAGAGGGATACTTGGTGATTAATTATTAATAGAACAATCCAAAGCAGCTGGCAATGCATTGCTTATATAAAAGAAACTTCGCATGTGTAGCGGTTTGTCTTTGTCATACATTTTTCTGTTGCAGACTGAGGACTAATTCATGAATATTGTACAAGGAATACTGCTCTGACAACATATAACATTTTGTGAAATTTAACTTTTGTAAGAATGTTGAAGGAAAGTAGACTTAGAATTGGTTGATCAATTTCACTTCATCTAAACTAGGGCTGCATCAATAGTTGTAATGTAAAGCACTATTCATTATTATTTAAAGTTTGTTCATGGCCGCTAGACTTTTGTTTTTGATGTGTTTCACATAACTTCATTAAATATTTATTGTTAATTTGATCATTCAATACATTCTTTTTGTAATCATAAAACTATTATAAACTTTTGATATTTATGCATAAAATTTCCAGCTATCTAATTTTTGAGCTTGCATCGCCATCAACTTTATGGAGCATCACCAAGACCTCTATTTTGTACCATGTTCCTTTAAATCATTGCTTGAATGAACCTCATTACATCAATTTATTAAATGAACCTCATTGTATCAACCTCAATAATTATGATTTGGTTGTTTTCTTCTTTTTTTCCTTTATCTTTGATATACCAGTTGTTTGTTGTGGATCCTTAAAGATTAAAGTGCTTGAGCATCTGTTTTGATTATAAGTAGTAATGGTTGTCAGTTGGGTTATTATTATGTAATTATTTAGTTTTTTTAGGTAATTAATATTGATATGCACTTTTTAGATTACTTTGTGTTACATACTTTTATATTATATAATCGATGAGGAGCGAAATGTACTGATTATGGTACTTTCTTTCAGGAATATGTGGCTGGCTATGTCGACTACTGAGCATGAGGAGATGAAGAAAGAACAAGGATATAATAATTTTATTTGAGCATAAAGGCAATTATAAAAGGATGTATTGTGCTTTGCACTATGTTTTGTTAAACTTTTTTTTATTATTGACCTATTTTCTTATTACTAAACTTAAATTTTTGCTGATCATATGTGCAAACAATGCGCTATTTGTTAGGCTATATGTAAATTGTTGGGCCTTGTGAGCTCACCATATTGGATGCTTGAACTTTTTTTAAGGATTCTTTTTGATTATTGCCATTAATGATGTTGTTGATGTTCTTATCAAATTATTATTTGCTTTTGTTCTATTTTTAATTGTAGAAACTTATCATTTTTAGTGAGTTAATATACTTCACGTTTAGTCAAAATATTATCATTTTTAGTGAGTTAATATACTTTAAAGTTTATGAGAAGTAACTCTCTTAGTAATCATTGTAAATGTAAATATGTTGATAAAATAATTGGCATGATATGAAGGTTAAACTCTTGGTTTGGCTTCGTTTTGGTTTTATCGTAGAGGGATTCTTAAAACCATACATACCTCAAATGAGCTTGATCTTGGAAGCAACTCCATGGAAGTAGAGATCTTAACTTAATACATTCAGCAAAGCAAACCACTGAATACTTACCAAAAAAGAAGTTGGGAAATAAAAGTACTCTGCATATATGAAGACTTAGAAAATTTCTTCTGCCCATTCACGCCGGTGCATCTTGGGTTTTCACCCTATTTTTCTATTTACTTTGAGGTATGATTTCATTTCCTTATTCTTAAATAAAATTATAGTTTATTTGTCATTTGTCTATTTTTTTTAAAGATTGTCATGTCAGTATTATATAAATCCGTGCATCGCACGGGCTTGAAACTAGTATATCAAAATACTGAAGATTTGGGAACTACTATCGAAACAACCCTAAAAAAATTAATGGACTCCAATGAGAAGTTAATTTGGCATCCATCCTGCATGTTTAAGGAGCTTGTTGAACTGAAAACTTGTTTTCAAATACAAAACAGAGTTCCAATCTAGTATACGGACATATTTTCCGTAACAGGACAAATTCTACATAAGCATTTCAATTTGCTATTAAAAAAAAAGGTGGCATTTTAGCTCAAATAGAGCAAGCAAGTCAAATGAGCACTGAACACTAATCAAATGTGTATGTTTTTGAAACAGTCCACATCTCTGCAAATTATTACAAAGTCATTCGAAAGAAGGAAAAACTAATCTTTTGCTGAACGCAAATGAGAAATTATTAAACATCTCTGTCCAGAGAACAACTTCATTGTACCTGAATAAAAAAAAAAGGAATTTTTTTATAAATAATTTAGCTATTTATACAATGTACCTATAAAAGAGAAATGACGGCTTAAAATGTTATGTAGACTAGAGATTCCAACCTCTCAAGAATCAGATGTCTTGACGATGAAGTTCTGGCGGCTGATGGGATTCATGACGACTGGAGGTCCAGCAGTGCGAGGCCATGCCTGAAACTTATTATTGTATCACAAGCATATGCAATCACGAAAGATCCTGCAACAGCTGCGGCGATCGTCACTGTTGATACTTTTGCTGACATATTAAGCCTGCAGCAATATGGGAATCGAGTGAGAAAAGATGAATCGATTGCTAAACGATGCCAGGATAATAAAGAAAATCGAGGGTAGTAATACTAAATTAAAAAGAAGAGCAATACAACCACTGTTATGTTTGGACATTTGGATTCAAATCAAAGTCCAACAAGGATCACCATCATAACCAAGGGGATTTGGCTTGCTTGAGGACTAAAGACAAGAGGCCTTAGATTTCAGGGGCTTTTTTAACCCAAGGATAAAATAATAGACACACAAACAAGGCACTTAAATGAAATAGGCCCGCACCAATCAAGATTCATAACAAATAATAACCAAGAGCAAACGAAGAGGACATATGATAAATATCCTGACTTATGACTTGCTACTTAGCCGAAATGTCATAAAAAAAAACCTTACGCAAGTTGCAGATTTACCAGTTAAATGATACAAGCGCGGTGACCCGGATGGTTGGGAGGTTCCAATATAGCTCTCACGGTCATAGGTTCGATTCCGAGTTGGGTAATCAAAAGAAAAAAAACCAAACACCAAGCTTATAGAACACTATTTCCTAAAACTGGGTGCATGTTTTTCAGATTCCCACCAATAAAAGTAACACACAATACAGGACATGTCTCACCCATAACTCGTTCAGAGGTTCTCTCTTCTTTTTAAACGTTTGTCAATTTTCTCTTAGCTCCCATCACACAACCACATCCACAAATGCCTGTACAAACACCCCCAAATATTTTCGTCATCCACATGCACACAAACAATCTACGTCACTACCATCTCCCAAGATAAACTGAAAATAACATGTACATGTTACTTGCAGCAATTGTTCGCTATCAACAAGTCTCATGGGGTAAAAATACATGAGGTCAAGTTCACACCACGATAACATGCACTGCAAATTAAGACTAAAAGGGATAGCATGTAATTACCCAGTAAGAAAGAATGGCTCATCTCGCAGAATAGAGAGAAGATGCACGCTAAATGCACAGACTAGAATTTCAATTATAAGCACATACTTCTTCAAAAATAAACTTTTACGTACTACATTTGAATTCTTATGACCCATTATCATATTTAAATTTTCATAATAAAACCTTATAGACCTAAAGGAATTTCAAGCACAATGCATATACATAAATTGGTATCGAATTTGACACAGGATGAATATTAAATTCACGATAAAATATGTTCCAAAACGCAGCAGATAAGGAGTCATTGAGACTAAGCTCAAGCTATTTCATCATTTTTAGTGAATCATGTCCAAAACATACCGTATCTAATCCATATCTGATCCATGTGCACCGCCACCAAAACCAATTTTCACCTCATCATCGTGTCGCAACGTCACAAGGGATACTATTGTCAATCTTGGCATTGTTATAAATTATAGATCCTAGTTAATAGATTAATGCATGACCATCAATGTCAAATATTTCTTAGTTTCTTCTCATCAGCATCATCATAATCATCTAAACCTTGTTTTCAAAGTGAGTCTGCTACTGAACACAAATCCAAGTTCCAGAAAAAAAATTCAACAAAGAATCGAACAAATTTTTACAAATAACTGTGAACGAGACATTCACTTTCCATGAATTGGTGACAAAATTCCAAGATAACTATGAGCAACAATGGACCATAAATTAAGATATTTACATCAAATTGATATGCAAGTATAACGATCTTTTGGTCGTGCATTGTAAGCACAATGAAGGATTCAAGGTTAAACAAGTTTTCTCAAATTGGTTCCCTCTATGAACCAAGTACTCTCATAATAACTTGATGCTATTGACTTTTCTCTTTTTCCAACACAATCTTTTCCAAATTTAACTGCCTTTTTTATTTCCTCCCTTCACAACAATTCACTGCTGTTGAGTACACAAAATTTGCAACTGCACCTATATATGTGATTTTCAAAAACAGTTGCAACCGCGATCATAGATGCATGTTTTGATGCAAGTACAACTTTTTTGCAATTACAGTTAAAGAGAGGTTCCTTTTCGCCAAAAAAATGACTTGAAAACGAATTGATTTCAAATGCAATTTACAAATTGCAGCTCTTGCTCAATTGCAACTTCTGCAAACCAAAAATTGCTTCATATGTCAAAGTTCTGCTTGATCTCATTAAACCCAACAAGCATTCATCCTCCTTTACAAGAATAACAATAGCACGTTGCATCCTGCAGCAGTCTTAACCATTGTAAATCTAGTTCTGTAGTCCTCAGATCAAAATTTTACCACACCTAGACAGCTTCTTATCTCAAAGCAACAACTAACAAAACCCATAAAATACACTCAAGGGGATCTCAAATGTGGCTAGCTTCAATTTCTTAACATACCCCATTTCATGAATATTCTACTTTTTAATGCCAATATTACATTCAGTTACCAAAATATAAAAACAATAATAATTTCGCCGAAAATAGACATCGAAGGACTTCATCGTGGTATCAATCAAATCCCAAAATGCCCAACTACTATTGAAAACCCTAAAAGAAACTACGTATTCAGGCCACGGTATCAAATTCTAGATCCATCATATCAAATCTCAAAAATACCCACGAAAAAAATTTTGTGAAGCTGAAGAAATAAAACACCGTTGAAACCCTAGAAAAATCCAAATTTTAGGTCAAGATCAAACTAAACGAACCCAATAATTTTCAAATTAGAAAGAAGTACTTAAGAGAGATAGGGATTTACTGTTGATTAGAAAACGATAATCGAAGTTCGTCGGCGAGCGATCGAGCAAGAATCGAGGGTTGAGCGAATAGGGGAAATTTGGGGGCTCGGCCGGGGCTTTGAATGGCTACGATATTCTGGAATGACGATTGTGTCCTTTCCTTTCATTGACATGTAGGGCCTTGATTGAACCTAGGTTCCCCATCAAAGGTATATTCCACCTATTTGATAAATGATATTTGAAATAATAATATTTAAAGAAATTTGGGGGCTCGGTCGGGGCTTTTAAATACTTTCATTTAATAAAGATATCCAAACAAAAGATTTCTTAAATCATGGATTTCAAATCCTAAATTTAAAATCCCTTGATTTTAAATCAACTTCCCAAATCCAAATTAAAGTTTCCAAACGCAACCTTATAGATTTTCTTTGAATATTATTATTTCAAATATTATTTATCAAATAGGTGGAATATACCTTTGATGGGGAACCCATGTTCAATCAGGGCCCTACATGTCAATGAAAGGAAATGACACAATCGTCATTTTAGAATATCGTAGCCATTCAAAACCCCGGCCGAGCCCCCAAATTTCCCCTATTCGCTCAACTCTCGATTCTTGCTCGATCGCTCGCCGACGAACTTCGATTCTCGTTTTCTAATCAACAGTAAATCCCTATCTCTCTTAAATACTTCTTTCTAATTTGAAAATTATTGGGTTCGTTTAGTTTGATCTTGACCTAAATTTTGGATTTTTCTAGGGTTTTAACGGTGTTTTATTTCTTCTGCTTCACAAATTTTTTTTCGTGGGTATTTTTGAGATATGATATGATGGAATCTAGAATTTGATACTGTGACCTGAATACGTAGTTTCTTTTAGGGTTTTCAATAGTAGTTGGGCATTTTGGGATTTGATTAATACCACGATGAAGTCCTTCGATGTCTATTTTTGACGAAATTATTATTGTTTTTATATTTTGGTAGCTGAATGTAATATTAAACATGAAAACCTTAATAAAAGAAGCCATAGTTACCTCAAACAATTTCCACTTCTACATGTCTCTTTCATTAGGATTTGTATATTTTTGTCTAATATAGAGGCTTCCTATCTTCATGACTGCTTGAAGTACTTTGTGGAACTGCCGACTAATTGTTTCATTTGAACGATAAAAATCTGTTTTGCTTGTTCTATTTTTTACATTATGAGCTAAAATATGCAAAAACATAGCGATAATTTCTTCAATCGTGACATTTCTTGATGCTACTAATCCCCCTCTAGTACATAGAACATCACATAACCTCTTAAACGCTTGAGGATTCATCGTTAGTTGTTCAACACAGTTATTTGCATTGCAAATAAGAGTTCGAATCCAAGATTTTCTAAGGTATGTCCTTTCATCCTCTTCTTCGTGTGTTCTTAAACTCTCCTTCAACATATGCTTTGTATAGTACCAAGCACCAATGACAGCAACTATAAAACTGACCGCTACCATAATAATTTCCTCATCCTCTCTCCTCTCAAATTCTTCTCTTGTACGTTTATGTTGGATCCTTGAATCCCTTCCATCATTTATCATTTTTAACCTATCACATTAAAAGTTGAACATGCAAGCAGATTACACATATATCCTGAATATATATTTAGCATGATGCAAATTTAGAAGTCCTAAGAAAAAACAACTCAAGACATAGAAATGAGGAAATACAGCAAGATATTTAGCAAATTACATTTAACTTTCAAGTCTTGCCTGCTCCTCTATGCTATTCTTCTTTGTTCTGACATCTTTATCTAACAAACACAAACAGCATGATATACAGTTTTTGACTGGTTTTCATATAATGATGCTTATCGAATCATGAACAAGATACAGATAGCATAACATTTCTACTTTATATATACATTTCCACCTTATATATACATTTCCAAAGTTAACCAAAACTTTAAAAACTAACCAGGAAGCATTCAGATGCATTTCTACGTAGATATGTAACTGAAATAGTTTTTAGGACTTAAAAAAACACAAATTTACAAATGCACAAGTTACCTGAACATGGCATTTTGAGTTACAACCTACACGTTTATGTTCAAAAGAGAGTAGGGAGAAAATGAAGTACACATGAACATCCAAACAGATATCCACTGCAGTTAGAGTATACAAATAATTTACAGTTTGTTATCACTGAAGTTGATATCGTAGTGTTCTTCTCTTTTAAATAGAATTCCGAAAAAAAAAACTTACGAACCAATGATTTATAAGAGTTAAATACTTAAGGCCTAAGCCATTTGGAAACTCATGCGCTCTCGTGGCTCACTTTCAAGTGTATTTTCAAGTGATGAAGGTTGATGCAAAGCCAGATTATTGGAATCATTCAAACATATGAATCAGATTTTCAACTATACTAATACATTTGTCAATTGAAAGGAAAGGAACTCAAGTAATGCAGTCAACCTAAGAAGCTCCATGAAAGTAGAATCATTCCCTCTGCTTATTTCAGAGAAAAATGCTAAAAGGTTTTCCATCTTTGATCTAAGTAAACTACTGAACTAAATTGACACTAAAATCAAAATTCCCATGCTCCCCGGAACTGGATAAACTGAAGTAGCAAATGTTTCTCGGATTAATTTTGTGAGAGGAAAAAACAACAACAACAACAACGGACAGACTGCTCCAGTAACACATAGAACATGTCAGATGAAATTAAAAAAAGGTAGCTAAACATAGTAAGCTCATAAAGAAAATTGTATAATCAAAAGATATAATGAAGCAGGAACAGAATAAATTATATAGCCATCAATCTGGTATGATAAAGAAATCTTCCAATAATCTGCATTTTTTATTTGACATGCAGACAGTATTTTCAAGTGTATCTCAGAAGCATAATTCATTGTATTGGTCATTAATAAGCGATTAGATACAAATATTATTTTAGCTACATGGATTTGGGCTATGGTGATAAGATATTGTCCATGAACTGGTGAGTAATATTTTTTATCTGATAACATCATCTGCTTGTCCTCTACATGGTGACGGCCATTATCTACGCAACGTAAACCATATATAATCATCAGAATAATCGAACTGTCAGCAATCAATAAGCAGGACCAAATTCAACCGTTGAGGATCCCCATGTTTCAAAATTTCTTTTAAGATAATATTCAATGCGGATAAGGCTGGGTAGCTAGCTGTATAACTTGTATGCTTCAGTTTCCTTTCAATGAAAATATTCAATGGGGTATTAAGTAGCTCCGTTGTAAAATTAGGATTTCAAATAGATACGCTTATTGAGAGTACTACAAAGAGAGCTAAGCTATATGCACATTACAAATGCAATCAATGCACATTACAAATGCAATCAATCTAAAGCTTTCAAAATTAAGAAGCATGGACTCAGCCACTATGGAGACAAATAAGAACTATGTGATATATTGACACAATAAAATTCTGAAAAAAAAATACGAGAAAATAGAAATGATCAAGACCAAGAAAACTGAAGAAAATGAGGGATACACACATCCTCAGATCCCAAAGAAACACCCAAAAAAGTTTAAAAAATTTAAAAAACAGCAAAAATTGAAGCCATACCTTGAATCCCAATCAGAAACTGAAAAGAGAGGAGGAAACAAGCTACAAAGAGAAAAGCCAAGTCAGAGTTCAACAAAAAATTGGTGTCTGCGGCGTTTAAGCCACGAAGATCACGACCTAAACCCTAGATCAGATCTAGGGTTTCGATGGAACGGGGAGAGAGAGAGAGAGGAGAAAGGGGGAGACTGAAACCCTAGATCATAACTTGAGATAGATGTTACCTGCTGCGTTGAGAGAGAACTTGAGAGTCGAGATCGAGACTGAGAAATGAGAGAGAGGAGTCGCGATCGGGGATCGGAGATCGGGGATCGGGAGTGAGAAATGAGAGAGAGGAGCGGGGATCGGGATTTGGTAAATACCAAGAGGCAGGCTGTGATTTGGAATATCAGGATTTGGGCTTTCAAATTCTCCTAGTTAAAATAATTTGATTTGAAATGTCAGTCTAATTTAAATCCAAACTAAAAGACTTAGATTTGAAATACCAAGAATTTTAAATTTAAGGCCCAAATTCAAGTTCTCATACGTAGTCTTATTAGACTCATTTAACCAAATGCGTAGGTTTTGGACGGGCTAAGTGATAGACGAATCATGTGAGTAAATAGGCATGGGCAAAAATTACATTCCCTAGTTCTGCTTATGCCATTCGGCGAATCGCGTCCTTTCGAATCTTGCTTTTTGGCCTGGGGGGTTTCGGGTTTGGGTAAATGTCCAATCCGTTCATAGGTCACGGTACTTTCTAAGTTAACGAGCAAAATTGATTGGTGCATTGCTGCCGCATTTGTGTGACAACAACCAAAAAGTATAGTTTAATATTTAAACTAAAAGTATATTTTATACCTAATATTTTGAGTAAAATAACAAGTTAAAGCAAAATATATCATCTTATGATGATTCAAAACTATTAACAAATAGTAGTTTAAAATTAATTCTTTCAAGTATGTTAGATCCAAGGTGATCTAGAAAGTGTGTATGTCTAAAAGTAAACAAAGGTAAATCTTTCGGGTTTAGAGATAAAATTATTTTTAAAGAGTGAGTGAGTTTAAAAACAACTGACGCAAAATTTAAAAAAAATACTCACATCTACAATTCACTGTGTTGTTACATTAACATAGCAAAAGCTAAAATATAATAATTAAGATATTTGGTTACAAGCACATCTAACCATGTAAAAGAAATAACTACGAATATGGATTAAATATTCTCAAAAAATAGAGGGAAACTTTGGGCTTAGAGGCAGCAAAAAAATTATGGATTAAATATTTAGTTAAAAAATACATCGTAGCTGACCATTTAAAATAAAAATATTATGACTCACAATGTATACTAAACTGCTAAAATACAAAATAGATTCAAAAATAGTATTGAGTATTTTGTGTAAAAGTAGCTCTGGAAATGAGTGGGTTAAAAAATAAATAATATGACTTTGGAATGAAAGTATAAAAGATTATAACAAAATATAAAAACTCACATATGATGAGCTGGTGAAAATGTAAAGTGAGTTTAAGATTTATTCAAATGAGTATTTTTGAATCTCAAGAGAATGACTTTAATAATAAATTAAGACAAGATTTTGGATACATACATAAGAACTCCTTTAGGAAGAGGGTAATTTAGAAAGGCAACGGGCTAAAATATTGAGTTTATGCACAAAAAATATTTTAGATGTCGCCTCATTAGCATAGAAAAATAAAAAATATAACATTGTTAAGTATTTGATTTATAAAATATATGATGTATATATAATTTACCTCTGACAATAATATTATTTGTTTCTTTAAAAAAGTCACTTATTTTACTTCTTATTGTACTTCTTGAAATGGTAAATGTGACATCCTATTTATTAAAATTATTTTCCATACCTCAGACATAAGTATTAATTCAAACGTAGCTAGCTGAAATCTGTATTACTTGAGGAATAAATTACTATTTTTAGTTTTACGTGGATAGTCCTCACTGTAAATAAAATCTCAAAAGATCTTCTATATCTCTGCATATGATATTTCCAATTGCTATCCAAACAAAACAATAGTTAATAAAAAGGAAGAGGTACTATTTCACTACTTCTCAAAATATGTGAAACAAATAAAAAAGTATCACTTTTGCTACTTTTTACTTTACAATTTTTGAAGTATCTTATTTGGTCTAATTCTTACTTCTAATACTTAAGAGTCATCCAAACGAGCTCTAATATATGATCTATTCTTACGAGAAAGAAAAAGAAATATTTCAGACATAAGTTCCAGATATTTCTCTTCACCTACATCTTAAATAACATTTATCATCCTCCTTCAACTCCCTTATTAATACTTACCAACCCTCTCCATTTAAGGGAAACAGGCAGATTACCTACAATTTATCCTCCACAAAATAATAATCTCAGAAACTATAACGCTAATGAACAGGTCGACTAAAGACAGAAAGTAGATAAAGAATCCGAAACTTTCTCTTAAATATTTATTTAACCTGTTCTTTTTTCACTGTGCTCCAAATCCAACATAACAGAAAACAGTGCATTACGTTCCTATGCCAAAAATAATTCCATACAGCTGAGGGCCACCCTGAACCCATTTCCAGCCTTGCTGTGTGACATGCGTAATATTGTCAAACCAATGAGAAATATTGGTTACATTTGATGAATCGTTCATAAGCTCTGAGGTTCAACAATACTAAACACATTCAAAAATAAAACATATACACAATGACATATACCTTACATTTAAAATATAACAGGGTATAACATTAGGTTATATTGACAGCTTGAAGGCTGCTATTAACTTCATATGTCTTCGTGCTCTCCGCTTCTGCAGTCTTCACCCATTCAATCAATATGTCATTCACTTTCTCTGGCACCTCATCGTGAGGGCAGTGACCTGAAAGCGAGCACCAAAACAAGCATGTATCATTCGTTGATAGTAACAAGTTATGTTGATCAAGAGAATAATAATTTAGCATTGGTTATTACAAATATGTAAGAGAGAGAGAGTGAGACAGATTTCTAACATGTGCATTTGCGTTCATGAAATGCATAAATTTTCTATTGGGTATTTCACAAAATAACCATGAATTTTGATGGGTTTACCCAAAATTATCATAATTTTTTATTAGAGAAAATTATCATGATTTTTTTTTACTAAACTATCATTCTGACAGCAGTAGGGTAGGTTGTTATAGGTGACATGATTTTGACAATTTTCTCCTTGTGTAATTTTGTACTTTACCCATTTTATGTATTGATCTCTCCTTTTATTCTCAAGGGCAGTTTAGACCTTTTACCCAAGTTGTTAACCTGCTAGCATCAAATTCAAACGGTTCATGAGAAAACTATGGAATTTTATCAAGGCCAAAGACTGTCAAATGCCCAGCACTACAATGTGCTGCACCATTATGCGTACTGGTACTCGCATATATACATGTCCACATATACATACATATCTTTATATGCATATCAAGAGAAACTTATCCAAAGAAAGAAAACATTTCATCACAAGGGCTCTACCCTAATATATAGATGTAGTTTTGCGCTAATTTGGCCTCAACTGATGCATTTCAGCAACAACAAAAGAATCATTCTGAAAACCATCAAATTAGGAAAGAAGTTTACCTGCATCCAATTCTTCTATCCTAACCCAGCTGCAGTTCTCCCTGAGCTTGGACAATCTCAACTTAGAGTCTGATAATGGATCTCTCATCCCCTGGAGTTCAGTAAGAAACAGTTTTTAAAAAATGCATCAGTTCCAATATCTAAGAAGCAGTGAGCTATGTTTGAATTCAACCTGATTACCTGTATTACCAAGACCATTCCTCCAAAGGAGTCCAAAAAACGATTAAGAGGAACTCGAAGGTTGAAGTTGAACACACTTTCTAGAACCACGAGAACTCCAGGATCATATGACTAATGCATGTTAAGGAAAATAGATGCTCCAACTAGAACAAATGTAGTAGGAAATCAACAGAGCAGCTAACATGATCACAAATCTAGTCTTCAGTAAACAAGTGGTATGGTTTTTTTTTTAAGTTTAAGAGCCGACAAATAATGATTAGGCATTACGATGCCTCAAATTCTCACAACTAGAGGTGTTAAAAGCAGCAGCAACTACAATAACAACAAATCCTTTATCTAAAATGTTTCGAGTTGGCTACATGAACCCTGTTCTTCCGTTTCATTCTATTCTGGGTCATCTCCTCTCATCTGTTAAGTTAACCATTACCCTATCCTTTTTAATTGTTTCCAACCAAGTTCTCCCAGGTCTAACTCTAGATCTTTTTGTCCCATTAACTATAATATCATCACTTTTCCTAAGCAGTGCACTAAGAGATCTCCACTGTACAGGACCAACGACCTTAGGTA